GAGGGCGGCAGTCTGCCCATGCCCAGCCACTCCCAGGACCCTCCGAGCGCCAGCCCAGTTCATTCTAGTGGTGGGCAAGGGGAGCTGTGGGGAACAGTGAGTTGGGACGCTGTTCCCACACCTGGAAGTCTTCCTTCGAGTAAATCCGGAAATCACTGAGCGGCGTCGTGGGCTGCCTTCTGGGTTTTCTTTAAGGAGGAGGTGGGCGGAAGGGGTTAAGGAGAGGATGGTGTCCCCACCCCTTCACTGCTGGCCAGGGTGTCTCTGCTGCTGCAGACCCGGCCCAGGGCGCCCACTCGCTCTTTCTCCTGGTGCCTGGAGGCTGGGACAGGTCCTGGTGGCACCGGGGCAGGAGTGGCCAGAGCCCCCTGAGCCTGGCGTGGTGGGTGCTGGGGATGAATGGCACTGATGCTGGGATGTGGGGACTTTGGGCGGGTCACGGGACCGCAGAGCTTCAGGTTAAACAGGTGAGAGGGGCCCCAGCTAGGCACCCCGATGATGATGATGGTGAGTCTCAGGACCGCCTGGGGTCGGGGCTCGAGGCACAGTGGCAACTGCAGGACTGCAACAAGGGCAGGCTCTGCTCCCCCGGAGGCTGGCGTCTCCCAGCTGCCTGGCAGCCAAGACTGCGCAGACACGGATGGAGGGCGGGAGGGAGGCTCGGTTCCCACCAGCCCCGCCGCACTTCCGGCCACAACCAGAAGAACCAGCCCTGGGCTGCGGTTGGCTCATCCCGGAGGGTGATCTCACCTGAACAACAGTCCAGGAAGCGGGAGGGTCTGGGGAGAGGCCCCCATTGTGTGTGTGTGGATGGGGACACTGAGGCTCCGTGAGGAATGTGACTCAGCCCTTGTCGGAGCCTGGCGTGTCAGCAGTGGGGCAAGGCGTGGGAGGGGTGGACCCCACTTGCTGGGGAGAGGAGCCGAGCCCCACCCCTGCCCCGCCCCAGCCCTTCGTAGTAGTCTCGGGTCTCCTCTCTCTGATGGGGCGAGTGAGGGGAGGACCAGAGACTGCCCCGGACTGTGCCCCCTGCTGGGGAAGAAGCCCCTCCCCACTAGGTGTGTGGAGAGCACCCAGGTGTGCTGGGAGTAAGCAGGTAGGGGCAGTGGCTGCCCTGCTGGTGGGGTCCCCTGGGGATGGCGTGAGGACTTTGGCTGCTTTGTCCAGGCACCCCACGCAGGCCCAGGCTGCTGGGGACTTGCTCCTGGTGCCGGATTGGGGGCCCGGCTCTGGGACTCCATGGAGGTACTCATGGTTCATCCCGCCCACTCTGCCCCCTGCAAAGAAGGTTTCACACCCCCCTCCATCAGTGAGGCAGAAGCTGCAGGTCTGTGGCTGTCCTTGGGCCACCACACTGCTGTCATATGATGGACACACAAGCCTGATTCCCAGGCCAGGCCCGTCCCAGGAATGTCCCAGGAATGGCCGGTCCCTGGGACATCCTGGCAGCACTGGCCTGGCAGCATTTCCCACAGGGAGATGGATGTGGGGGTGACACTCGGTCCACAGTGTTGCATCGCTCTGTGCCTGGGTCTGCGCTGAGTCCAGGGAGGGAGGAGACACCGGCCCTGACCCAGAGGGACAGCGCCAGCCCCAAGGGGACCTGAGGGAGCCCCCAGTCTAGGGTGGTGAGCAGGGCACAGTGGCAGCTTGGACAATACTCCCTCAGCCCTTCTGCAGTGTGGGTCTCTTGTGCTGTCCCAGGCTTTGGGGAGTTGAGGGCCACAGAGGGACCAGAGCCAGGCGGTCTGGCCCCAGGCACAGGGTGGAGGCTGTAATCGAGCTTGGCAGAGCCATGGTGCCCCTGCAGGGCTCGTTGTTTGTGCAGACCACTGTGAAGGGCTGTGACAGGTACTCCAATACCCCAAGGCCCTGCCGGGACCCTTCAGAGGGCTGGGCTGGGAGGGCAGCCCCTTCCTCTCCTGCTGAGGCTCAGAGGGGATGACGTGTACCTCAAAAATGCTAGAGGGGAGAGGACCCTCTAAGGCAGGCCCGACACTCACAGATTCCCCAAACTCTGGGACTGGTCACAGGGCCAGAGCCTGGACTGGGATGTTTGTTCCCTGCCGGGGACCTGCCTCTTCTGTTTCCCTGCGGCCCTTTGCCCGTCACGGCCTGACCACACGGTGTGGGGATGGCTTTTCCCATCCTGTCTCCCACCAGATTGTATGTTTTGAGGGCTTGTTGTCTTGTTCTTTGAGTCTGAGTGCCCAGCATAGTGCCTGGTGCATAGTAGGTGCTTTATAAACACTGCCGAATAAATGTAAGGATAGCTACCCCTCTGTGCCAGGTGCTTTATTTATCTCATCTTGAATCCTCTAACATGCCTGGGAGGTAGTGATGCTGTTCCCAGTTCCTGGAAACTGAGGCTCAGAGAGGCTGAACGGCTTGCCCAAGGTCTCACCCCTGCTCGCCTGACTCTAGGCTGCTCTGTCCTGGCTTAATGGGGCTCTACTCTTTCCTGCTGTCCTGAAGCCTGTGGCTCTGGCCTGCCGCCTGGGGTCAGAGGCCCTGCAGCAGCCCCCTCAGTCTCCCTGCAACCCACCCCGGCACCCTGGGCTGCCTCCTGCCTTCCCAGCCTGGGCATCTGCTGTGGAGCTTATATTATAAATCAGCCCCACGAGCAGGCACGTCCCGGGCCGTGCTGATGTAGGGTTGGAGCAGGGCTGGGAGCTACATGGGGACTCTGATGACCAGCCAGCTTGCAAATCCCTGCAAGCCGAGGCGTGGCATTGGCCAATGGAGCTTCCCGGCTGCCTCAGGTGTGACATGACCTCATGCCTGACATGGGTAGGCTGAGAAGGGCGGAAGGAGGCAGGTGGGGGAGGAATCACTGCCTGGAGGGGGCCCATGCTCTGTGCCCACCAGGCTTCGCAGTCCTGACCTGGGGGCAGGTGTACATTGCTGGCATGGAGCAAACGCCCTGGCTTCTTCTCTGCCAACTCAGATACTCCAAGGCCCTGCTAGGACCCTTCAGAGGGCTGGGCTAGGAGGGCAGCCCCCTCCTCTCCTGCCGAGGCTCAAAGGGGCGACGGTACCTTAGCTGCCTCCCTGTGTTCTCCGGCCCCTGTTTTCTCTCCAGGGTCAAATGATAAGTTCTTTTAAGGTGAGAGGCTATGTCATCATCTCCCTTCCCTGCCCCAGCCCTGACAGCGGGGCATGCGGTGGGCGTGTGATCCATGGAGCCGGCTGAACAGTTTGATGAGCTGGTCGGCAACTTCCGGCAGCTTCTCAGCCCACGCAGGCCCCCAGATCCTCAGTGCTGGGCCTGTGTGTGGTCCCAGAATGGCAGGCAGGGCTGGGCAGTGGAAAGGAGATGTGTGTGTCTGTGTGTGAGTGTGTGTGTGTGTGTGTGTGTGTGTGTGTGCACGTGCACTGGGGGCAGGGAGTGAAGGGTTCGGAGCCTCCACTGCGAGAGCCAGTGCAAACCTTGGCTTGGGAGCTGGAGCCAGGCCCAGTCTCTGCTCTTCACCGCTGTGCTGTTTCACCTGGGGCAAGGCGCTCACACTCTCTGGTTAGGGCTGGGTGGCCTTGAAGGCCATTTAGGTTCTGAGGGTAATGGGTCTGTGATTGAACTTCAGGCCCACCCTGACACCTGGGCGTCCAAGATTCCGGGGTCCCCTTTGCCCACTTCGGGGTCATAGTGGGGAGTATCGGTTCCCTCTCTCAGGTCAGGGCCTGAGGGTGCGCACATCCGCTCTGCTCTCACCCCTGGGCCGAGAGTGACGGACGGAGATGTGTAACAAAGCCCTGGTTCTGCTGAGACAAGGAATTTCCCGCCCCAGCGCAGCTCAGGCCGAGGCCAGCCCTCCCTGGGCTCCCCACACCTCTGCAGAGACAGTATGGACCACGGACAGTGGCCAGTGCCCTGGGTCACCCCAGCACCCCGAGGAGGCCTCTGTCTGGGTGCCCAGACCCCTCGATCCTCCCTCCAGCCCTGGGTGCTGGACCAAGCTCTCAGGTCCCGGCTACGCCCGCCGTGGGCAGGCCCGTGCAGGCCGCTGCGGGAGGCGGGTGGGAGCCGGGATACCGGCCTGCCTATGAGGCAATGCGGGTGCCCGGACAGCTGGTTCTAGCCCTGGCTCAGCAGCTTGGAGCTGAGTGACTTGGGGTGAATCATGGCCTCTCTCTGCTTCCCCCTTTGTCCTCCTCACCTACAGGGTTAACTTTAGGATCAAGAAAATGTTGTAAATTTGAGATGTGCAGAGAGAGTAGTGCATTGGTGGAAGGGGAGGGGCTGGGGCAGCAGGAGGTGGGGTGCACATCCCACCTCCCGGTGGACCACTGTCTTGGGGAGCCCACTTACCCGTCCCTGCGTCCCAGCTCCCTCCTCTGGGGACTGGCGGGAGGAATAATGCCCCTCACACTCCCCTCACAGAACCAAGTGACATGAGTCAGGTACTCCGTGCTGTGCCTGAGTGGGCAGGTGACCAGTCTTGTGGCCCTGACAACTGCACGAGTGAAGCTGCCGGGACCTACCCAGAATCTGTGGACACATGAGAGGAAACTGCTAGAAACTGATCCCCAGATAGGACCGTTTCCATGCAGGGACTCTGAGGCCCCTGGCAGGGTCAGGGGTCACACGTGGCAGTAGTGGCAGGATGGGGCTCCCTCCATGGGCATACAGGTGGGTGCCTGTGATTAGGAGAGGGCAGCAGGGAGAGGAGGAGCCGGTGTGGGCTGGGTGCCCCTCAGGTGGGAGTGTGGGCATGGGGGTGTGAGGGTGTGGGGAGGGCATGAGCAGCAGGTGTCTGGAAGGGAAGGAGGGGAGGCTGAGGGGCAGGGTTGGCCATGGGTCAAGGGCCAGTGGGGTCCTTCTTGCATGTCTCTTTGTGGCTGGTGGTGTGTTGTCCCTTTTACAGATGAGAACACCAAAGACCACAGGGGCTAAAGGGCCTGCCTGTGCTGTGCAGCTGTGAGGCAGAGCAGGGGTCAGCTGCCACCTGTCTCCATGGCATCTGCTGTTTCCAGGGTGCACAGACTTCTGGAATCCTGCTACCTCAAGGCTGTCTCTGGAACTGGGATTAGATCTGACAGGGGAAAGAGGGTCATAGGACTTTTGGAACTAGAAAGGACTCTGCAGTCACCCCGTCCAGCCTTGTCATTACTGAGGGGTTACAGGCCTAGAGAGCAGAGGTGACGGCCCTCAGGCCACACAGCCACAAGGCAGAGTGGAGCCATGAACCCAGCTCCTGCCCAGAGCCGGGACCGAAGGATCCCCAAAGCTGCATCCCCAGACGGCCGGGATGGCATCCCTGAGGTCTCTTTCAGCCAAGGCTGTCACCGTGGGGCAGGGAGTCCTTCCGATGGGCTGACTCACTGCCTGGGGACGCAGCCGCCACAAAGCCGCCCTCGCCAAGGCCTGGCTGGCCCCTCGGGCTCCGGGAACGGGAGTCGGATTCCCAGCACCCAGCCTGAGTCACGACGACTCGCGTTTGTGTGTTTTTCTCGGGGCCCCACACCCCCAGAGCTGGGTGGGAACCCTGAGCCAGCACCCAGGGAGTGAGTCGACCCTGGGCTGAACAACCCAGAGTGGGGAGCCGGGCAGGACCCGGGGTGACGAAATCCGAGGGCCCCACCTTCCCCAGATGCATATAAATGCTGCTGGCGAGTGAGGCAGCCACAGCTCTCTCAGCCTCCCCGAGCACCTTTCTCTTCTCTCTGCCAGCTCGCTCGCTCGCTCACCTCTCGGCACCATGACCACCTGCAGCCGCCAGTTCACCTCCTCCAGCTCCATGAAGGGCTCCTGTGGCATCGGTGGTGGCTCCAGCCGCATCTCCTCCGTCCTGACCGGAGGGTCCTGCCGGGCCCCCAGCGGCTACGGGGGCCTGTCTGTCTCCTCCTCCCGCTACTCCTCCGGGGGAGCCTGCGGGCTGGGGGGCGGCTATGGTGGCGGCTTCAGCAGCAGCAGCTTTGGGGGTGCCCTGGGTAGCGGCTTCGGTGGAGGGTATGGTGGTGGCTTTGGTGGTGGCTTCGGTGGTGGCTTCGGTGGTGGTTTCGGTGGTGCCGATGGCGGTCTCCTCTCCGGCAATGAGAAGGTCACCATGCAGAACCTCAACGACCGCCTGGCCTCCTACCTGGACAAGGTGCGCGCCCTGGAGGAGGCCAACACTGACCTGGAGGTGAAGATCCGTGACTGGTACCAGAGGCAGCGGCCCAGTGAGGTCAAAGACTACAGCCCCTACTTCAGGACCATTGAGGACCTGAGGAACAAGGTTGGTGGCACCAGTATCTGGAATATTGAGAGAAGCCAGGACTGCAGTGGCCCTTAGGAAACCTCTTTCCAGCAATTGCATTTTGTCATTAGGGAGACTGAGGCACCTTGGGGGAGTGGCCAAGGTTGCCCAGAGAAGCGGGCAGAAGGTTCCTTTTCAGCATCTCTGTGTCTGAGCTGGGGCTGGAACCCTGAATCTCCTGCTCCCTGCAAGGGTTCTTTGCGTTGTGTGCTCAGCTTCTTACCCTTGGGCCCCGAGTTAGGGGTGGTCGGGGACATGGGAGCCACCCCACATCCTGAGCTGGGAGAAGACATTCCAGCCTGGCTGGGGGACCGGCCTGCCAACGGGAGACCCCCATGTTTGGGGAAATTCCTTTTGCCCCTCTCTGCCCTCCATCCTGGAGCGGCAGGGACGTTGGCTGACCATGTCACTGTCCTCCCTCCCCATCCAGATCATTGCAGCCACCATCGAGAACGCACAGCCCATTCTGCAGATCGACAATGCCAGGCTGGCGGCCGATGACTTCAGGACCAAGTGAGCAGCCAGCACGCTGGGCTGAGGGCAGAGGGCAGGGGGTGGGGCTGTCTGTCCAGCAGGGCCAGCAGACCTTGGAGCCCAGAATCTTCAGGGATGGAGCCTGAGGCTCTGACCTCTGTCCTGCCAGGTACGAGCACGAGCTGGCCCTGCGCCAGAGCGTGGAGGCCGACATCAACGGCCTGCGCCGCGTGCTGGACGAGCTGACCCTGGCCAGGACCGACCTGGAGATGCAGATCGAGAGCCTGAAGGAGGAGCTGGCCTACATGAAGAAGAACCATGAGGAGGTGAGCGGGCGGCTGGCTTTGGGGTGGGAGACCGGCTTGGCATATCCATCCAGAGCCGGGAGAGGAATCAGCTGAGCTGACTGCTTCCTGCTGTCCCTTCCTAGGAGATGCTTGCCCTGCGGGGTCAGACCGGCGGGGATATCAACGTGGAGATGGACGCAGCGCCCGGCGTGGACCTGAGCCGCATCCTGAACGAGATGCGCGACCAGTACGAGCAGATGGCGGAGAAGAACCGCAGAGACGCTGAGGCCTGGTTCCTGAGCAAGGTGGGGCTGGGGCCCGCAGCCCTCCCGCAGGACTTCCCAGCCGGGGGCCGCCGGAGTGCCTCACACCTTCTGCATTTCTGTCCTATCTCAGACCGAGGAGCTGAACAAAGAAGTGGCCTCTAACAGCGAACTGATACAAAGCGGCCGCAGCGAGGTGGCCGAGCTCCGGAGGGTGTTCCAGAGCCTGGAGATCGAGCTGCAGTCCCAGCTCAGCATGGTACGGAGGACTCAGCCCAGCTGCAGCCCCCGCCTCTCAGGAATGGCCACCAGCCCCCAACACTGCCCCAATCCAGCTGCACCTTTCTTTTCCTAGGAGTGGGCCTGGAGGTCTCATTGTACCCATTATATAGATGGAGAAATTAAGGTTCAGAATGGTGGACTAAATTTCTTCCATATTGTCTGACCCATCAATACCCCAGCTGGGGTCAAAAATCCACGCACCTCTCAGGAAACATGCCCAGAGACCCGGAGGGACAGGAGTGACCACCTTCATTGACTCTTTTTCTCTCTTTCTCACCTGCAGAAAGCATCCCTGGAGAACAGCCTGGAGGAGACCAAAGGCCGCTACTGCATGCAGCTGTCCCAGATCCAGGGGCTGATCGGCAGCGTGGAGGAGCAGCTGGCGCAGCTGCGCTGCGAGATGGAGCAGCAGAACCAGGAGTACAAGATCCTGCTGGACGTGAAGACGCGGCTGGAGCAGGAGATCGCCACCTACCGCCGCCTGCTGGAGGGCGAGGACGCCCAGTGAGTGGGGCCAGTCCTACCTCCCAGACTCTCAGCACCCACTCTTCCCAGCACATCTAACCGCCCCACCTTTCCCTCCTACAGCTACCAGTCCCAGCACTCGTCCGGCCAGTCGTATTCTTCCCGCGAAGGTAAGGCTCCCAAGGCCCCCAGCGCTGCAGCCCCTCTGCCCGTTCCCGGGGGTGGGGGCCAGGCCACTCCCCGGAGTCCCCGGCCCTCCCTTTCCCCTGCCCTGGAGCCTCTTAGCTCCCACAGCCCTTCTCACCTCCTCTCTCTCCCACAGTCTTCACCTCCTCCTCCTCGTCCTCTTCCGGCCACCAGACCCGGCCCATCCTCAAGGAGCAGGGCTCGTCCAGCTTCAGCCAGAGCCAGAGCTCCAAGCACTGAGCTGCCTCTACCAGAGCCTCCTGCCCTCCCGCCGGCCTCACCTCCTGAAGGCCCCCGAGTCAGGACCCTGCTCTCCCTGCGCGGTTCCCAGCTGTCCCCCCTCCCCTCCGCTGGTGGCGGGCTAATAAAGCTGACTTTCTGGTTGATGCAAACCGGTGTCATCTCCGTTCGTTCGTGAACTGGTGGGAGGGGAGGTGAAGGGGCCTCCCAGGAACCCTCCTGGGTCCCATAGGCTGAGACACGCAGGAAACGAAACAAACCTCAGGAGACCTGGAAGGGTCCCCCTGGAAGACCTGCAGGCCGTATGGGAGTGGGAGGCGGGACTGAGGGAGGGGAGCGTTCCCGCATGCTGGCAGTCACCGTCTAGCATTCTGCAGGGGTCTTTTGGTGACACTTTCCTTGCAACTCTGTGAGGTGGGAGTGGTCAGGCCCGTTTTGGATTCGAGAGCTCCTGGGATTGAGGGAGGGTAAGTCACTGGCATAAAACCACGCAGACAGGAAGTGGCGTGACTGGAGTGCAAGCGGAGCTCTGTCTGCCACAGAGTCAGTGCTTTTCTTCTACTGCCACTCTGCCTTATTAGACATTTTAACAAAGATTCTGGCGCGTGAGCTCTTAACTCCGCCCCTCGGCTCCCACAGCTGCGCAGGACGGCTCCGTGCCGGAGGGTGGGAGGGAGCGCTGTCCGCCTTGGGGACAGTGTGTGTATGGCAGGGGTCTCGCTCTTCGGTAGGTCTCATGTGGAATTATCTGGTGGAGGATAAGCTGTTTCATTGGGGGACAGTATCTAGTCCCTCTGGGTGAATTCTCCAGCATAAACCTCTAGTTTCTCTGGGGTGAAGGAGTGATTGGCATCAGGCAGGTGGGGAGAGAGAGAAACTATGGAGGCTTCTAGCTTTTTTTTTTTTTTTCTTTTTAATTTTTTAGAGAGACAGGGTCTTATTATGTTGCCCAGGCTGGTCTTGAACTCCTGGCCTCAAGCAATCCTCCTGCAGCCTCGGCCTCCCAAAGTGCTGGGATGACAGGTGTGAGCCACTGCCCCTGTCCCGTCCCTGCTTCTAACCTGTCCTCCTGTTTCTAGCTCACTTGTCCCGACTTTCAGAGGTACCTGGTGCCTCCCAGTCCAGAGCTTTTCAGGCTTTTGATGTGTGAATCTGCTTGTGTCGTGGCTTCTCTCTGGGCAAGCACTGAGTTTTCTTTGTGTGTATTTCCCACCTTCCAAAATGTTGTTGCTGTAATGTAATCTCCTGCTCTCTTTGTCAAAATGGATTTTTATCCATTTACAGTAATTTTAGTTGTGTTTAGGAGGTGGAGATAAAATGCATATTTTCCCTGCCAGATTGACCCAAAGCCCCTGCTTTACATGGTAAAATCATATTCGTCTTTCCAGGTTGCCGAGCCTGATTCATTGCTCCAGTGTTCACGTCTCAAAGAACAATCACTGTTGGTTGTTCAGCAAACGTCTCCCTATTGCTGGCCACCAACCCTGTCCCCAGGGCCAGAGGGTGAGCCAATGAATCAGACCGAACCCTAAATTCCGATACCCAAAGGTAACCACTGGTAACATTTTTGAGAGTTTCTTTCTCGTATAGTGTATATCGAATATATACTGTCACTCGCTGCATAACTATGGGCTATAAATACGATGATGGTCCCATAAGATTACAATATTGTATTTTTGCTGTACCTTTTCTATGTTTAAATGTATTTAGTACACGGATACTTGTCACTGTGTTACAACCACCTTCAGTGCTCAGTGCTGTACTGATCTGTAGCCTGGGAGCCATAGGCTTCACCATGTAGCCGAGGTGTGTTGTAGGTTATAGCATCTAGGTTAGTGTGAATACACTTTCATGTTCACACAGCGACAAAATCTCCTAATGACACATTTATCAGAACATGTCCCTGTCATTAATGTATATAAATGAAATATATTGATACATACTACAAGTTACAATGACACCTAATGTCTATACCATTTGGCATTCAATTTTTTATTAATGTTATAAGAGAAACACTTTCCTGTGCTATTAAAAGTGTTACGCATTTTTTAAATGCTGTTTCTACTGTTCCTTTCTTTTTCGGTTGCCCTTGAAAATAATGCTGAAATGAGCATCATTGTTCTGCATAAAGCTCTTACAAGTATTTTGGATTATTTCCTTAGGCAAGATTCCAGAAGTATAATTGTTAAGTGAGAAGATACAAATGTTTTAAGGTGCTTGATTTATATGGCTAAATTGATTTATAGAGAAGTTGTGTCAATTTGCATATATTGCCAGCAGGGAATGGGAGTGCCTATTTCAAAACATGCTCACTAACTTTGAGTAATATCTTTTAAAACTTCTTTGGTAAATTGATTCATCTGTCACTTTTTTTTTCCTTGAGACAGAGTCTCACTTTTTGCCCAGGCTAGAGTGCCGTGGCGTCAGCCTAGCTCACAGCAACCTCAAACTCCTGGGCTCAAGCAATCCTCCTGCCTCAGCCTCCTGAGTAGCTGGGACTACAGGCATGTGCCACCATGCCTGGCTAACTTTTTTCTATATATTTTTAGTTCGCTAATTAATTTCTTTCTATTTTTAGTAGAGTCCAGGTCTCGCTCTTGCTCAGGCTGGTTTCGAACTCCTGACCTTGAGCGATCCTCCCGCCTCGGCCTCCCAGAGTGCTAGGATTACAAGCGCAAGCCACAGCGCCCAGCCTGTCTGTCACTGTTAAAGCTGATGTTATGAAAGGACCCTCATATAGAGACATAATTCCGTTCTGGATTACTAAACAACTCCTGGGCTGGCGCACACACTTTCATGAGTTGTTCATTAATGAGATGTCAGAACCGAGGACATAGAACACCATCTACCCGGGCGAGGGAGCTGTTTTAAAGAAGGTGTCTGTCCCGGTGTCTTCTGAGTGCATACCTCCAATCAGTGCACCCTCGGGAAGCACCACAAGAAAAGCCTCTACTTGACAGATGAGGAAACTGAAGTTTAGAGAAATTAAGGGAAAAAAAAAAACCTTTCTTGGGGTCTCCCAGCCAGTTAGTAAAATTCTCTGAGAGCAGGAATCATGTTTCTCCTGTTCATTGCTGTAGCATGTGGAAACAAAACACGAGCCCCTTTTAAATAGAAAAATAGTGTTATGCAGAAATGGGAGTTTTTGCTTCAATAAGGGTACCAGGTTTTTTGCATCTGGAAATGGCTTGCTGCCTGCATTTTGCCAGCTGAGATTCAAGTCCCCGATCAGACTGTGTTTTGCTCACGGCTGGTGTCCCCCACTTCCTAAGATGCTGACGCCGGAGACAGGAGTCAGATGGAGCACTCCCAGTGTTCTTTGTAACTTGCCCATTTTGAACACACCTTCACATTCCTTATGCTTGAGTTACTTCAAAGTTTGTGAAATATTGTTTTAGATAATTACATAAAGTGCTAAAACAATGACTAGAGTGAGAATTAATGATGGCCCATAAACCCTGTCTGCTGATGTCAATGAATGAGTGGCGAGCTTGTAAATTTTGCTTTCTTTGGGCCCATTGTTTCTGAGAGCAAGAAGAAGCCCAGTGTCCCTCCTAAAGTCTGAGATAAGCAATTTCTTAGGCTCATCTTCCCACTGCTGTGGCTTGTTGTTTTAGACTTTCTCACTGCTCCCTGAAAGATAAACACGATGAAACTGTTTGTTTTGCTTGTCCCCTTAGACAGTACCCAGCGCCCGAGGGACACTTAGTGAAGACTTGTAGAGTCAAGACTCGGAGGTCTGCTGTAGACGTCTCTTTGTGTTCAGGTTTGCATGGAACCTTCTTAGAAGCAGGTTTCTTGAGGGCAGGTTTCTTTGGGTTCCATGTGCCTCTTGTCCTGTTAGCATACGACAGCCTCTGTGGGTAGGTATATTGACTCGCTATCATGGAAGAGAAAGCAAATATCTTCCTGAGCCCTGGAGGGACAGAGCCCCGGAGGGACAGAGCCCCATCAGAGAGCTGGGGCACCAAGCAGGTGGAGCTGCTCACCTGGCTCTTCCTCTGATGTGCTGTCTGGGTCTCCACCCCAGGCAGATACAGCTCTGCGTGTCCCCTTCCCCAACAGTCTAAGACCCCTGAAGGGCTTTGAGCAGATCGAGGAGTGTTCAAGCAACAGTGGCAGCTATTCAGAGAGAGACCCTTTTTCTGACGTCACCCCCTGTTGACACACTTTCGGGTTGCAAGGGTCCCTCTTTCTCCTATAGTGATAGGGTAGTGACACATAAAACACGTATGTCTTGTTCTTTCCACCTTTTATCTACCACACAAATAGTGTGACAATGTAAAAGAAAATATAGAAAATGAAAACATTCATCCATTGTTCTGTCCTCAAAATTTTTATTTCCCCAGACTCTGTTCCAGCCGAGTATACAGCAAAGATGGTTTTCCAATTATTTAAGGGGCGTCCTTTGATGTTAAATTAATGGAAATAAAAGATCGGTCTGAAAGGGCATATGTGCGAGGATAGTTACTGCTTCATTATTTGTAGTGGCAGAAAACAGAAAGCAACTTTTCTGTTGGTAGTGGAAGGGCTGAATAAATAACGGCCCACTCCTCCCGTGGAGTATTAAGCAGCGGTCACGATCAATACATCGCAGCTGTGTCAGATGGCAAGTGGGGACTCCTCAAGGTATCGGGAGAGAGAAATGTATGATGCAGAGAAGCACAGAAGTGAATTGATCTCACTGTGTGAAATAAACAATAACCGTCTCTTTTCCCTCCTTTATGTAAACGCAGGTATGTGTGCATATGGTTACGTGAGCACCAAAAATACCAAAGGACACATATGAGGTTATTAACACAGACTCCCTTGGGGTGGGGTGGGAGGCTGATCTGGGTGGGGGTGGGACAGAGGGGAAGAAGGGATCCAAGAAAAACAGGAAAAGAAAAAGAAGTGCACACATTTTTATGCAGATACATAAAGTTGTATATAGGAATAAAGATATTAAGCAAAAATTTAAGAACCAAAGGATCAGTTAATTAATTTGTTGAATATCATATCAACCTCCTAATTGAAACCAGATCGCGCACACTCACATCCTGGCCTGTCAATTTTATATTGCCATAAAATAGATTTTTAATTCACTTTGTGGCTTAGCTGATAATATGACTATACAAATTAAAAGTGATAACCGGAAGAAAAGAAATAAACC